CTCTCTCTCTCTCTCTCTCTCTCTCTCTCTCTCTCTCTCTCTCTCTCTCTCTCTCTCTAACTTTATTGCCGACTAAAATTTAGTATACATTTAAATTTTAGTATACATTTATTAAATTAAAATTTTCTGCGTTTCAATTTTCCTTCAAATCAGCATGAACTTTCCGGACAACCCAATATCTATATCCAAATATAAATTAAAAAGATTAAAGAGGAAAGTTTTATTGCAGAACAAGAAATAGAATAAAGTGATCTCAAATTAATGTAGAAATGTAAACGATACTTTTTTTTCGAATAATTTCCGTTATTAATTACCGAAATTAAATTAGAGAGATTAGTCTATCATATATAATTAAATGTTTCCTAATATATTCCTCAAATCAATTAATAATGCGAGTTTGACAAGAGGCAATTAAGATAAAGGGACACATTCGTCGCTATAAATTTATCAATTTGCACGATCGATATGAGCGGGAAGATTGGTTTAAAACGCAATTTAAAAAGGAAACAAATATATATTTTCGAGCCGAACCTTTGAACGCATGGAATTGTTCGGAATGGCGTACGTGACGCTGTTGGATATTTCTACCTGCGATCGTAACGATACCACTAAGTGTGCCCGCTCGATAGAAATCAAGAGCACATTCACACGCACACACAGGTTTCCTCTTGAAACAATATTTCGCTGATAAGAGCTATTATAAGCCATGACAAAAGAAAAAGAGATTATACGCAATTGCAACATACTAAAAGTTTGATGGGACAAAATCATAGCTCTGTTTTAAAATAATTTTTTTGCTAAATCGTACATTGATTAGATCACAGACATTGATGAGATATTTCTCATATAGAATAAGAAAATGACAGAAAAGAAATTTCGAAACTTATTTATTATATAATTATATAATACAAAAATATATGAATAAGTAAATATGAAGTTAAGAATTTCATTTTGAGTAATTATGTTTATCTACATTTATAATCATTATTTGAATATAAATTTAAAATAATGAAATTTGATTTTATGACTTTATTAAAAATTATTAAATATATTAGTATTATGCTATAACACATTAGAAGAAATTTTATAATAAAGTTCTAATAAATAAATGGTGGATAAATTTATATAAGTTTCTTTCTCTATTAAAGAAGATTAATGATATTTATTTTCTCTCTCCCTTTTTTTCGTATTTTTTAATTCTTGTGTAGTCTCTTTTCTGTTTGTATGACACATTTATTAATTTAGTAAAATTATACTAGTAAAAGTTATCGTCTCCCATGAAGCATCGATTACAAAAATAGATACAGTAAGTTTCCAACGGAATCATAAAAATTTTTTTTTTTTTCTAAAACCCAATATTTCGACAAAGTAACAATTTGATAGGAACTTGAAAACGCATCGCATGTAGTTTACATAGTACAGTTACGTTAAACTACCTGCATACAGAGCTTTAATGGGCGAAGTTTGGTGATTGTTCAATTTTATAATCATGTTATGTCGCAGAGTAAGCAAACAATACTCGACAAACAAGACGCGTGATGTATAATACACGAAAGATTTTTCAGCGACGCAATGACGCACAATCAAATTCTGACAAACATTAATATGAATAAAACTGTTTCTTTAAAAGAAATAAAAACTATGTTACAAAACACTTAAGCTATTGAGTAAGCGTTGAGTTCAAATACCTAACTAAGACATTCCTCACAAGTATATAAGATAACGATTCGGTATTGTACATAATTCATTTTTTTCTACATAATTTCTAACATTTTGAATTCTTGTATGTTATACAGTGTTTCGTATAGTGTTTAATTTTATATATCTCACATTAAATATCTTAAATTAATTCTTAATGAACTATGATTTTTAATTAATTGATGATGTTAATTAAACAAAATCAAACAATTAATTTAATAATATTGTCATTTGATAGCATTAAATAAATGTAGATTAAAAATAATCCACTATATCTTTGTGTAAAAACTTTTTTGCACATCATGGATTTCGTGCATTCCCTTTAATTGATTTTAGACACAGCCTTATTATTTTATAAAAAAAAAGTTCATGGCTGTACATATATAATAATTATGATAAATCTTTGTCCACAATAGTTATGGATAGGACAAACAAGACAGATAGAAGAAATAGAAGGTAAGAGGTTGAAGATGCAAGATTACCTGAAGATACTAGGACCGATACACAAAGCGTCACGTTGTACATCGGCGATGGGGAGGCGCTTGTGGTACCGCCACGCTGTCAAAATAAACGGCACTATCGCGATTTATCTCGTTTCCCATGATAATAAGAGATAAAACTGCATCCTTACATTAGCTAGTATATCAGCTAAAATGATAATTTCAGTCGTCGGATTCGCCAGGAGCGCGTAGGGCCGCTCCTACTCTCTTCAGTCGTGCCGATCTATGGATTTCCCCGAATAAATCTCTTTGGTTTTGGGATTCACAAAAATGAGCCAATAAGCTTATTTTAAACCGAAGTGCATTGTGTGAGATCGATTACCACAAATAAGTATAACTCAAAAAATACACCGGAAAATATCGTTTAATTTCGTGTTTATTTTATGATTACCTAAAAGAAATTCTGAAGTGTTATTTAACGACAGTGTAAGCAATTCTCAAAATAAATTGTTCGCAGATTTTCATCTAAGAAAGCTATTTGATGTGTATGAGGGGAAAATTTACAGATTTACAATTAAAGTAAGTAATTCATGAAACATATAAATGTGAATGGATATTTAGTCTCATAAAAAAGAAAAACGCAGAAAATTGCAAGCAATCAGCAACTCTGCAAGCGATGACATAAATGAAATATATGCACGTTGAGAATTACTGCATTATGCTTGGAAATTAATACGTTACAAATTTTCGTATTTTTCTAAGGCAAACACGATGGAAATAAAAATCGAACAAGCAAAGAGGATTTACGTCACTAAACGGGGCGCGAACACGTCGAGGCCATTTTCTTTATCAGCCATGTAGAAGTCCCTTATCATCATACACGAAAAAAATACAGGTGTGTGTGTGTGTGTGTGTGTGTGTGTGTGTGTGTGTGTGTATAGATGCGTGATTGGCGTACGTGTGTGTACGTGAAAATCCGTATCACTGGGAATCTACGCGAAAATGATGTCTTATTTACGCCTGTTGACATCATACAGTTCAAAGTATACTGATATATATGGTGTCGTAAAATTATCGAATGTTTTTTTCAGTATAGCTTTTCTGATCTACATAGAGGTTTTTTTGTATTAATGAAAATATCGATATTTTTATTGCTTTCAATTGTTGCAATTTTAATTGTTGCTATCGCTATAATTAAATTGAATTTAAATTAAATTTCACATGTTATTTAAATTAAAATTTTATTAAAATTGAAAAAAATAGATTCTTTTCAATTAAGTGTTTAAAGATTTATACGATTTTAGCTTGAAATGATAGTTTAGCATTGCACTGTTGTTTTACAATAACAGATTAAAGAAATTTCTCAAGACGCAACACAACAGATAATGATAGCGCTAAGTTCTTAGATCTTATTGAATACTAAGAAGTCAATAAAACTTTATTGCAATTTGTCATCGTTTTGTAACCAAGTATAGTGCACGCTCGTGCGCTAAAATGGCGAACATAGAAGTCCTTTATGGTATGTGTTTAAATGACTCGACGGTGATGTCTCACGTCCGCAAGGCGTGCAAAGAAGAAGGTTTTACAGCGCAATTACTGAAATTTACAACGAGACAGAACTGTCTCAATTTTAACGTCGACGGGATTAACATCGAGCTACAACCGCGTTGTGTAAATACAAGTTTCATGTTCATTGTTTTCGTTGCAAATATAGTGCCCGTTTGTCATAATATATCCGAAAAATAGATTCTAGAGAACAAAGATATTTACAATACTTACAATGACTTAAAAATTTCAATAAAAAATGTTTGAAAAAATATTTTTAAAATGTCAGAATTATTATTATTATCTAAAATCATCTATCCTCAAACAGAAAAAGTACGTACATGATACGATGATTATAGTGATGTTTGCATTTCTGCAGTGTATAACGACGAGATCGACATTTTTTATTTCAATATTTGTATATCGAGCGTTCGACTTGCACGAATGGAACATCAAAACCTTGAAAAAATGATTTATATCGTATTCGGAACCAAAACTCGTGCTACCTTTTTCCAAACCATCTTTGATGATAACGAATTTTTACAAAAGATTTCGTTAATAAAATCCATTATAATATATACTGTTAGAAATGTAACCACAAACTTCCTTTACATGTAAATGAAGTTCGTGATTACGAATGAAATTAAAAGTAATGAATAATTTAACTGAAAATTAAGTTACAGTTACTTAAATGTAATGAATGTATACATTAAATTTCATGTACATGTACACAAATATATTTTCAGTTATAAATACATTAAATTTAATGTAATGTCAGAAAATTAAGTTCAAATTGTGTAACTTAAAAAAGTATATTAAATTTCTTGAAATTTTTAACAATGCTTTGTATATTATGTGTTCATTCTTATTATAAATAATTCAAATTTACACGATATATTAAGATGAAAATACATGCAATATTTCTCAAATTAATTTCAAGTGAATTTCTTAAAGTTTTTTGATAAGGTTTCAATTTTGTGCTTAGTGATCCCTTATTCAATAGTACGAGTTAGGAAAATGCTAGAAAATTACAGAGAGAATTCTATCAAATGAATATTCTACGCGTAAATACTTCACATTTGCCAAAAGATAAGAGAAGAGAGAAATCGTAAGATAATTTTAAACTTTTAAAGTTTAAAATATTTTTTTTTGATTATCGTTTTTTGACTGTCAAAAAATTTTTAATTGCTCAAACAAACAAGGAAATGAAGAATCCTGATTGTCACTATTTTCTTATATATTTCTGTGATACGTGAATGATGCGGTATTTTTCGAAGATAAACTTTGTTACTTCCGAATAAATCGATACAATAGCGAGGGAAGACATCGCCGCCGACGATGACGGCGTGATGAAAGTCGACCGCAATGCAAGGACCAATAATTAACGTACACGACAAACAGTATTATCGTCATTGCCTGATATTATTCCCATTATCTTATATGTACGGCGGCTATGTGCTTAATGATTAATAAAATATTATCTGCGCTCAGGGTATATCTCTCTCTTCCTGGCGACAAATAGTTTCGTGCCAGACACCGCGAGAAGCACCGATGCCGATGTCGCGCAATCTGTGATCTACAGGTGAATATAAAATTAAAGTCAATCATATTCGAAAATGGAACATATCGCGAACGTAATTCGAAAAAAAGGTATGCGCACAAAATAAAAGGACATTTCTATGAGAGATGTGTAAAGATGACTTTAGTAGCTTTCGAGACATGTTATGATTGATGTAAAATTGAAAAATTCTCCTAAGTATTTGCAGTCCGAAATTTAAGGGAAATAAAGTAAAGAAGTAGCGTCAATGAATATATATATATATATATATATATACTGAGCATGTGATATCGTGAGTGGTAATTGGAAAAAAAATTAGACGATATTTGAAACAGTAGGTGCGACAAAAATATAATATAAATATAGAAACATAAATGCAAAATGGAAATATGATAAATTAAATGTGAATAATATGTGGAATTTCATAAAGGAAGTGTCTTGAACATGCATCTTTAGTTTGTAAGAAGGTCCGACCAACATTGAAATCTTCCGTCGTGAATACGCACCGTCGGAATAATTCAATGTTATTGATAAATATTAATATTTATATCGACAATATTTTTGTAATCGAGCAATTTAGACACCGTCATTTGGGATGTGTTTCGTTCGTAAACCAGACGCAGGTGAATTAATTAAACATAAAAATAATTAATATGCTGTAAGTGAGAATGCTCAAAGATCTGCAAATATTCCCGATCGCACTTGTATATGTTGAATATATTATGTGTAACTTAATGAGCTCATATGCAATTTCAACGATTCGTGATGGTAATATTGTTCGCACCGGGCGCACATGCGATGCGTCGTTGAGTGGTAAAACAGATGAATCGACATAACTAAGGTGAACCGAGACTTTGAGGAAGAGAAAAATGAAAAAAAATCAGT